ATAATCATAAAATTAAATAAAAAAATTTATGTTTTGAATATAAAAAAGTTATTATTTTAAATAAATTTTAAAATAAAAAAATAACTATTACTTTAGAACGGAATAAATACCAACTTCTTTTTATTAGAGGAAAATTACACTCTGCCTTCGATTGGCCGACTGCCATTTTTTTTATTTTTTAATTTGGTGATAAACAGCGCACACTGCACACTCAATCAATCATTAGCTGAAGCAATTTGCCCTGTACAAGTAGCATCACCTTCTTTGATTAAATAAGTAGATGGATGTTATTATTGATGTAAATTTAAGTTTTTTTTTTTGTAATCAAACTTATTTATTAATAATTTTCTTTCATTTATAGGTCAGGCATTAAAGTAATGTTATTTAGGGAAAAAAAGAAGCTCTACCTTCCAGTATCCACAGTGTAATCCAATTTTATTCTCTGAAACGAAAGAAAAAAAATTGTTAGATGGTGATATGAGAGGATAGATTTATTTATATATAAATTTTATACATTATATTTATATAAAATTTTTATAATTTATTTTTTTACTGTTAATAATTAAATTTAGTTGATAAAAATAAATACTTTTAATAAATATAAAAAAATTTCAATAATTAAAATTATATATATAATATATAAATTTTATATAAATGGATGCCTACCTTACCCTTAGTATGAACTACTCCGTGTCATTATTGTAATTTTTGCAGTCAAAATTCGCGTTGTGCTGAATTTTGGTGGAACTAATTTTTTTTAAAGAAAAAAAAAAGAAAGAAGACTTAGATTAGGCCCCATCCCCAGTCAACCTTATTTGCTTCTATTTACCTGAATGTCAGACTCCTCAGCCGTGGGAAATGCCTTTAACATATTAAATATTTTGACTATTCCCACGTTATAAAATTATGAATTCATGATTCCCACATTTCGAATTAGTGATTAAATCTTTATTTTGTGAAATTATTTTTTATAGGGTACGTTTTTAAATTTTATAGATTATTTTTTATATATTTATTTATTTAAATATGTATTAATCTACTTTCATTTAAAAAAAAATAAAAGTATAAATTGACTGGATCTATTGTTTTTTATATTCCTGTTTTTAATAATACATACACATTCAAGTGCTTGGGATTAGACCCTTACTCATCAAGCAAAATTATAAAATTATAAATTCTTCTCCGATGTTAGTTGGACTATATATGGTCTGCCTACTGTCTTTAAAATACTCATGTATTTTGAATGTGAAACCATCCAAATGGACTTTCACATACCAATCATTGCTACCCAATTAAGTTTTTACATTATTACAAAAGTTGGTTTGATTGATACCATAAGATACACAATTTTGCTTCCCTGTTAGCTCCCCAAGCTTTGGGTGACTCTGTATCCATATATGAATTATACACAACAATAACTATTAATAATATAATATTAATTATTAAAGAAATTAAAATTATTTAATAGAGATATTTTTTAATAAAAAAATTGAATTTAAATTAAATCACATAACATGTAAATAAAAATAAATTAATAGGAAAAAACTCTTTTTTGTACAATAAAAAAATTTAACATAATTATATCTAAATCTTATGGATCAATAATAATAATTAACTCAAAAGATGCATCTTCTAATTTAAAGGTTAAGATTCAAAACCCCAACTCAAATTGTAAATCCTTCAAAAAAAAATTTTAACATTAGTTATTTGCAACTATTACAACATTTAAATGGTTAACCACAGCCACCCATTTGTTTTCATTTTCTATTTTTGGAAACCTATCATAGAAAATTGCTGCTGGGAGAAGTTGTCCACATCAGGAACTGGTTTGGCCATCTAACCCTGGTGTAAGTGCACATATGTCCTATATGACAACTGATAATTCATTTTTTTTGAAATTATAACACGCCCGGCTCTTCATTCCTTGCACACCAAACCTCCAATTGACATCAGGCATGATGCACCCTCTTCAACTTATAATTTAATGTTAAGAAAAAAAAAGTAGGAGGTATATAATCCACACCATATTTGACTTTTCTAAAATTGTCAACCTTACCTGCAGGTGACCGAACGGGGCAGTCAACATACTTCTGGAAGCACACGTGGGCGCGCAGCTCATGGCCTCGTGTTAAATATGAAGGCTCTTCTTACTTGTCAATCAAGCACCACTCTTCGTGCTGAAGAAAGCCTAAATAAGTCCTCAAACTTCTCATTATTTGGCAATTGATCATTTTATAGTCTTTTTATGGCAATTAAGCCCTTGAACCTCTCCACCTGGAAAAGTATTTGAGAAATTTTAAAGAGGATTGCCCCACTAAAAGTGGGTTTCTTGGTCTTTTTAATTTATTTTCATAACAAGCAATCATATCATATTAGCAAGACTATTAGTAAAAGATAGAAGTGGCATTAATAGTCAATTACCTCATGTCTTCTTGATACTCTTGTGACAAAAGCATTTGTTAGTTAGGTTTATTAATTGACCAAAAAACCCAAGCATACACATAAAAAAGAGTGTGACACAAACATTTATGTACCTCATGTGCTTTTAGTTTTATTTTGTTTGATTATTAAAAATAGTTTGAAGCTAATAAAAAAAGGAAAAAAAGGAAAATTAGGACATTTCGTCATTAACAATGTCAGGATGTTCAAACACAAATATTAAATGTGTAGATCCTATCTTTATTAAATTTATTATGTGATTATTATTGAATATCTTGATATTAAAAAATATTAAGACATCTTGATTTTAGCCTTTTTCCTATTCACATCTATCACTTATTAGTTTAAAGTCAACTTATAAAAATATCTTTTTATACTCTGTAATTAACTATTTAAGGGGGAAAAACCATATGCTTATTTTTCCAATTTGATGAGTTGAAGGGTTTTAATTTCCATCATGAAAACTATAAGAACTCAATTGTCAATCTACATATAGTTTGAGTTCTTATATGCATTTTATCCTCATTAAAATTATTATTATTCTTTTTCTCATTTTTGGATAATCCTTAAAAAACTATTCTCTATTCTCTCTAAGCCGAACAACTTGCAGAAATATCGCCGAGTCACCCTGCTCCGAGCTTTCGTGCCTACACGCGTATTTCCTTTACCTTTTATATCATCGCCTACGTATGAAAGCACAATTAAAAATAATTTTCTTGACAGCAGGGAACGCGAAAGTCTTCGGAATTTTCTCTGATTCCGACGACCAGCCAACTACTCACATTAAACGCAGACAAATCCCAAGGCCAAGACCTATTTATATTGGGTTATTTGATCGTTTTCTCGAAGAAATTTGAAAGGGGGTTGTTGGGTTTCTTTAAGGATGCAAGTGGGTTCTGCTTTGTCTCTGTCTCCGAGCTTCAGTTCCAATCGTTGCTCCGGCGACGGGTTTGCGGAGATTTCAGGAAAATTCTGTTATGATTTTGTGTCTAAGATGAAATTGGAAGAGGAGAGCTTGGAGAATCAGCTTGAGAAGGAGCAGGAGCTGAGTAAGGAACAAGAGCTGGAAGAAAGAGAGGATGAAGGGGAAGAGGAAGAGGAAGGGGAAGAGGAAGGGGAAGAGGAAGAGGAAGAGGAAGAGGATTTCTCCTTTGTTTGCTTGAATCCAGAAGGATCCCCGGTTTCTGCTGACGACGCGTTCTTAAACGGCCAGATCCGGCCGGTTTTCCCGTTATTCAACCAGGATCTGCTCTTTGCCGACGCCGCCGCCGCCGACGGTGTATCTCCGTCCAAGTCCGTGGACGGTACCGTCCCTCTAAGGCCTCCGTTGAGGAAACTATTCGTCGAAGGACATGATTCAACGACCTCTTCGTCGGAACCGGATGGACCATACTGCGAGTGGAAGGGTAAAACAGTGGAGGACGCGTCGCCGGTTTCGTGTAAGAAGAGCAACTCGACGGGGTTCTCGAAGCTATGGAGGTTCCGAGATTTTGTGCACAGGAGCAACAGTGACGGAAAGGACGCGTTTTTCTTCCTGAACCATTCGCCGCCGACGAAAACCACCGTCGAAAAAAACGAAAAGCCGAAGGCAAACCCAGAGAAGGAAAAGCCGAAGAAAGTGAAGGGGAGTAAAGCGGCGGCGTCGGCGGCGGAGAAGCATTACGTGAAGGGCAAGGCCATCCGGGAAGTCGAAAAACGGAAGTCTTATTTGCCGTACAGGCAGGATTTGGTTGGGTTTTTCACCAACGTGAATGGGTTTAGTAGAAATGTCCATCCTTTTTAGGGATAATTAATCGAAATTTGGTATTCAATTAATTTATTTCTTAGTTCTTTTCTTTTGTGTTTAGGCTAATTTTGCTTTCTTGTATAAATTGGAGCAAAGTAATCCCAGATTAATTTAGGGATTGAAGTTGAATCCACTATCTTTGTAAATGCATTGCTTATCCTTTAATGCTCTTGTTACATTTAGAGCAAGAAAGGACTTAAATTTTACTCTCTTTTTTCCCACCTTTTTAAAAAGAGTGTTTTGTATTATTAATTATGTGTTAAAAGTTAAAACAACTATGAATAGCACTTCCATCTCAAATATCTTTTGGCTTGTAAGCTAAAGCTGCCTGCAATCTAAAACCTTTGAAATATCTGTTTTATGTTTTAAGTTTACCTTTAAAAAATTGTGAATGTATTGACACAAACTTTCACCAATAAGGATTTGGTCGAATTGACATTCAATAATTTAAAAACTTTTCATAACTGTATTGGTAGAGGTGTATGGAGATATGATGTTGGATGTTTGAATCCTAATTAGTGCATTCTCACCAGATTTCTCGATGGTCAGAAAGAAAAACATGACTTCTCAATTTTTAGGTAAAATATTGGTTGAAGGTCAATTTTTATTGGTTTAAAAGAGTGTGTAAACTGTGATGCATGCTTCTTCCCTTTGTTAATTAATTTAGGAAAGAGAAAATAGTAGACCAGCTAGCTTCACCCCACAATACCGGCATGCCCCAACGCTCAGGGCTTCGTCACGTTCATGAGTAGTTAGTGCATATTGCATCAATGTAAGAAAAAGGCTGGCAAAAGAAATGGTCAAGAAAATACAAAGGCCTCTTTCTAGAATCCATTTTCTATTCAAATTTGTGTTCTGCCGAACCTTCAATTCAACATACTACAGCAGAAGACATAATTTTCAAGCCAAACCAATATCCGGACCCAATTTATAAAGTTATCTTAAACTATTTCCATCGAAATTCCTTGTACCCAACTTTTGAAGGTTGCCTATTTTTTTTTTCTTTTTTCATCAGCAAAATATTTTATTTCACGAGTATAAAATGTACCCCACTTATTACAATTCTTAATTTACATTTCACTTGTATATAACTCAATCGAAACAATTTTAAAATATTATTTTCTTCATTAAACATTTAAATCTCCCAATGGTGATAATTCCTACCATTTCCTTAAAGCATGGATAACGCCTGAAGGTTATCCATAACTTGCCATACAAGAAAATTTGAATCCCGGTTTCAGTAGAATCATGAACTTGTCCAGAAATTTCTTAGAAAAATATGATGCTGGAAAGAATTTCTTGGACTTGACAGAGAAAGTGGGTGGAGGACTGGGGTTCAATCCTTTATTGTCCAGCACAACAAAATGCCAAATGCCTTTTTGGGTTTGCTTTAGTTCCTTAACACCGACTAAATTCACATGGGGACCATCCCTATTCGACCTTTTTAAAAAATGCCAAACGGACCACTGCAGAATTCCCACTTCCCAGAAACTCCCTAAGTGGAATTTGGTGTTTTAAGAGTACTAGTGCTTTTATAAGGAAGGTATTTTCTTGGATTCTTCTTGGAGAGTCTCAAAATCTAAGTACACAGCTTCGTGCCAAAATCTGCGTCCTAGAGTTGCGTTTTCAGCCACTATTTAGGTGGGAAATGCACCCACAATTCTTGGCCTTTCGAGGTTTCTAATGGCAGGTAACACCTGCCTTGTACGTAAAATCTCTCACTTTCTCCCAAATTTCTCCATGTTAAAAAGAAAAAAAAATTGTGTCCTAGAGTGTTTGAAGATAACATACGGATTCATGTATTTAGTTTAGTTAACTTCATAAATATTTATAAATTATTCTATGTACAATTATCTGAATCATGGTTATTAAAATTACTATTTTACTCATAAAATTACATAATTTTATGATTTTAAATATTAAAATTGCGTTACATTTAAGTTAAAATCATAATCTTGTAAACTTGGAGTTTTAAATCGTAAAATCATAATAAATTCATAAAATTGGTTAAAATTAAGATTTTATAAATTTAAAAAGCTTTATGAATTTTTGTATCATAACTTGACTAATAATCAGTAGCCACATATTGATAGAGCGGTACTTCTTGTTTATTTATGAGTTGTTTTATAATAGTTTGAATTGGCGCAATGAAATTTGGGTTTTCAAGTAATAATTTTGAGGGTTTTATTAAATTTTTATAGGTTAAATTAACAATATTTTATTATAAAATTTTTTTGGAAGCCAAAATCATTAAAATTTGAAACAGTTTAATAACTACGAAATAAAAAAAATATACTCAATAAAGACTTGGAATTATCAATTAGTAACTAAACATCTTAAATTAAATTTGAACACTTAATATTAAATTTTAATAAAATGTAAATTTTAAACTAATTTAGTAAAATCTTGATTTTACTAATTTAATTTTACAATTTCAATTTTACTTAACCAAAATGATTTTACTTAAACTCTCAATTTTTATCATCTTTATTTCAAGAGTTAACCACACCTTTATATAAGGATTTCATGAAGATCTTTTTTTTTTTTTGATAAAATATATAATTGGATTAATAATTGAAAAGCAATTACAGTATAGATTATACTATGCCATATAGGGTATTTAAGAGAGATAAATAAATTAGGTAAGACCTATAACACTTATTTAGAGAGCTTGGTGCTTCATACAAATAGAAACAATTAAGAATTAAGAACTTTTAAATACTAATATATGTTATAAGAGCATCAATAGAGTTATGGGATAACATAGAAAGACTACATTGGAGCTTACAGTCGCTGCTGATAATCACATGTATTTTACCATTCAAATCTAGCATGGGAGATCAGGGGATTTGGTGATGCTGTGTCTCTCAGCACCACAATGCTCTGTTCAAGCAAAAAATGCTTAGTTGGTTGCCGGCAAAAGCAATCTAATGCAAGAACATACACTTCCTTAGAAAACTAACATCAGTAGAACTAAAGTCACCCATAGCATCTCTGTCCTTTTGTATTTGATTACTGGATCGAAAATTAGAGTGCTCTAGGTTCTTTGATTTAGATCGAATGTTGCTTTTACCTTGCTGGAAATTGGAGTGCATCTAGTTCTTCGAATGCAACTCCGCTAGGATCCCATCCGCAATTGAAGGTATGGATTTCATTAAGATCTTGAGTGGTATAGTACCTAGATGGGATAAATTAAAAAATGGGACGAAGTTATAGACTTACATCCCGTAAATAGTAATTCGAATGGTGAAAAAGGGATCCATAGAGCAACTTCGTAAATTAACTAGACTGCAAAGTAGCAATGCCGAATCAACAAAAAATGACTCCAGAATAAATTCTTAAATTTACTTCAGAGCAAATTATTCTACCCTTAACTACGAATTGAAGTTGCTTAGCTCAAGTTCAATCCACCAAAAACACTACTGGAAATTATAAAATAAAACAAATAAAAGTATAATAATACCAGGGACGAATTGAATTGTGAGTATCCAAAAAGCAACGGGCCGTAGGATGAATATAGTTGTGATACCGCTTTTGATTTCTCATTTTTGATCTTATTTTAGGGGTATTTCCTTTATTTTTTCAAAAATAATTATTAACGGTTGATTTTAATTAAATAAAATAAGTATTTTGAATCATAAATAATAATAATTATTAATTATTAAATATCGTCAATAACTTAAATAATTTAATGGTTATCTTATTTCGTTTGAAGTAAGAGATCTTAAGTTTGAGTCACATGACATACAAATAAAAAATAAAAAATAAAAAATGATTGTCTCTCAGTATGTTATAAAAAAAAATAAAAAATGATTGTCTCTCAGTATGTTATAAAAGAAGAAGAAGAAGAAGAAGAAGAAGAAGAAGAAGAAGAAGAAGAAGAAGAAGAAGATAACAACAGCAACAACGGGTCATGACGCCTAAAAGGGCTGTCAAATTGGGAAACGAAGTCCAGCGTTATGTTAGGCTTAGATTTTAATAAACAGCCTAAAACAACGACTGGCCCAATTATCATTTCAAGAAAATCCAATAATTATCACTTTCAGCATTTAAGATCTCCTGGCCCCCCAAAAAATAAAAATAAAAATAAAAAATAAAATAAAACAAATAAATAAATAAATTGTGGAATGGAAATAGTGCATTTAAAATCCATATTTATCCTCAGTAAATTATAGATGTTGCTATCGTTTCTTTGGGTGGAGAGTAGAGCATGAAGTGGACAGCATGTTAATCCATCCACAACATCAAATTAACTACAAAAGCCCTAGCCGTCTCACATTTCACTTTCTTTATCCATTCTGAATGAGGAGGAGCCTTCCTTATTTCATATCCCTTAGAATGGACACTTGTGTCTCGAGTTAGCTATCTTGCCTTCTTCTTATATAATCAAAGAAAACTCAGCTCCCTAATGAGTTAGCCTCCATTGTTGCAGAACTTGAATACCTTACTCGGTACTCTCTCACTAGATATGTGGTTTTTTTCATTTTGCCTTGTTTCGTTTCCTACCTAATGGGTACTCTGTTTTGATGGAACAGGGAGGGTACTGAATTCGAATCCAAAGACATAGAAATTTAAGGCATGGCTGCAAAATTTAATTGCTGTATGATGCTGTGTTGTGCTAAAAAGGTCTCGGTAAGATATTTCGCTCTCGTTATTAATTAATTTGTTTATCTTAATTCAATGTTTAAGAGTTCAAATAACAACTAAGCACTCATGGGTTATGTCTTTAATCTTGTGATGGTTTCCAAAGAAACGAAATTGACTATAAAATATTTATTTTTAATTTGAATTGTGACTAGCACTCCTAAATGTAGAGTTGAACTCTCCCGTAAATTACTACTTTTTTCACAATACACAGCGTAGGTTGAACTGGCCCAGAAAAAAATGTTCTAGTGGACTCATTAATTTTAACACTAACAAGACCGTCATATTGTCATCTAAACTTCAAAAGCAGTTAGCGAAACTAGGAAAAGAACTGGTGTCGGTCTTACATTAACCAAAGAAGAAGTGGGAATCATTTTCAGGCTAGCCTGATCCAGGGCAAATAAAATAAATGTTACCAAACGTGCCTGGAACGTCATATATGGGACTTAATTAGACAGTGGGCGAAGGGAGGGTTCAAACATAGGATTTTTCAGTTGCAGAACTTCACAGCTACTAGATGAGATCTGACAGCAGAACTGAGGAAGTGTTCTTCTGGGTCAGGTTTTAATTAATTGCTAATTAACTTTGTTTTTCCATCAGTCAAACTCCCAATTAGAATCCCAAGGCCAGGGCGGCTTCCAAATTCCAATCCAATTAATTCAACTGCCTAGATTACAAAACCCTCTGTTTCTAACCTCATTTGATTATATACCAAGTTGAAGTTACAATCAACAGAGCAAATCACATGGACCATAGACTTTTGTCCCGTGATTCTTACCTTTTGTTAGACTAATTAAGTATATTGTATTAAAGATTTAACTGTTATTAATCTTAAGAATTTAAGTTATTAACAACTTAAATAATTAAGTGATAATTTTTTTATTAAATAAAATAAAAAATTTTAGATTCAATTTATAGATATGTAAATGAAATAAATAAAAAAATAAAAAAAATTACCCATAATTGTATAATTTTTTTAAATAACTTTTGAACTCAAGCTACAAACTATTAAATGTTTGAAGTTTTAAACCTCTAAAACAAGTTTGAAATTTTTGATTAATTTTTTTGTTTAATACATACCAACGTAATATGATTTTAACGTGAAAGACATTAGACGCTGCCCAAATTATGACAGCAAATATCATGCTTGAGAGGGTCAATTATGTGTGGGGATCTGAGAAGATGATGTGAGAACACAGAAAGCTTCATTTTCTAAAAATTACTGGGCAGACAGACCAGACTAAATGGGTTGAATTTCCATATAGTGATTCTCATTTCTGACCGCAATCGAGTTGGATTCCTTCCTGTACCCTTTCCCCACTAATAATTGCCAACTCCCAAAGGGAAAAAAGGCAAGCTTTATTTCTAACAAACAACTTTTACTCATTCTTGGATCTGGATGTCGCCTGAAAACAAAAATTGTTAAAA